AGCTTTTAGATAAACAGAGATGTAACCCTTTATAAGACTTATGTTTTAATTATCTCGATATGTTTTATAAAAAAAAACGTCTGTCTGCTCGTTGATATAGATGTAGAAATGTTATTCAGATTTCGATTTCTTTTTAAGTAATAATGTGAGGCAACATTTTCTATTTTTGACATCATTAGAAATTGTTTTGTCAACACTTCTGTTTATCTGTATAAATGTTTATTAAACATTTTTTATACCTTTGTGGAATTTTTGTCAAACTTATTACTTGTTAAAAGTTAATGTAAAAATGCTTGTCAAAATTTTATATGTTTTATATCTATGTGAAAACTTTTACCCCCTTAAACTAACTTGTAATTTTATGTTGTTTTTTTTCCGTGTGTGTTAGTAAGATCTTTGTTTTTTACTTAGATGGACATATTTGTCTAATTCCTTGATGCTTTAAATAATCTTTTCTTTAATATATGTATCAATATTTGTACAATCTTCACTTGGAAAATGTTTGCTAAATTTTCTGTTCCTTTAGTTCTAGATAAAATGTTGTTGAAAATTTCGTTTCTCAATAGCTATTCAGAAATGTTTATTAAAACTGCTGTTTCATTACATCTGTATAAAAATGTCCGATAGGGCCTCTGTTTCGTTTTCGTATAAACGTATTTCCGAAACCTATGATATCTTAAAGAACTGGACAGAATCAGTAATTTTTGGGCACAGTTTCTTCTTAATGCTTTATATGAGTATATGAAGGAATTCAAAGATCTGAATCCAGATGAAATCTTTCTTTTCTGAGTTCCAAAAGATCCACGATCCTCTTCTCTATGTATATGCCTCTCATCGATCCAGTACTTGTTTCTCACTAGTCAAGAAGCTATTAAAAGTGCACTAGAGGGCAGCATCATCTACCTTAGTTATGAAATAGTCACGCAATATATGTCAAAATGTGTAAATATGTATAGAAAAAGGATATTGGGATTTTTTTTTTCGGATATCCAGGAATAGAAAGTAATTGTACAAAATAGGGGCACTATGGTTAAACTACAAGCACCTCGAACTATCAAAAAAGATTCTACAACTTTCAAAATCAATGAAAATACCTATTAGGCCAGCTCAACTTCTTTAAAAAAAAACTTTGTTCCTCACCATTGCTAAATAAAGGTAATAAATAATATATTCATATTCGACAGTGAGAATACAAGTTAGGGCAAGCGGCTAAGGTATATTTTTTTTCTGGAATTAAATCATTAGAAATATATGTTATTGTTCGTTCACCGAGCTTGATGCTTCCCGCCATTAAGCATCTTGCATAATTTTGCATAATATTCATGAGATGATTAATTATTGTCTAGTCTTAGCTACAAAAAACTTTATTCCATTTTCTGCTAACAAACAAACAAACACTCTCAACTTACGCTGTAACTTACCAACGAAAATATATTAAACAGACTTCGAATGAGCTTGTTTGTTTGTTTTTAACTATGCACAAAGCTACACAAGGACTATCTGTGCTCTGCCCGCCACGGGTATCGAAACCCGGTTTCTAGCGTTGTAAATCCGCAGACATACTGCTGTGCCACTGGGAGATGTTTGAAGAGTTTGTTTGTTTGTTTTTAATTATGCACAAAGCTACACAAGAGCTATTTGTGCTCTACCCGCCACGGGTATCGAAACCCGGTTTCTAGCGTTGTAAGTCCGCAGACATACGGCTGTGCCACTAGGGGGCACGAATGAGCTTAAAAGACATAGATTGTATATATGAAATAAGGAGTATACGCTAAATTAACAGCGACCCATATATACTTTTATAACAGATGGTTGACTAAAGTGTAAAGAACTTACTTTAAAACCCACACATTATGCTTCACCTGCCTGGTTAAAATGCGTTTTCATTTAATTCAACTCGAGCTTTGTCTTATCAGACAGATTAGTATACTTGTTTATGTGTGTAAGCAATCACTCTGATTCACTAATCTGATCAGTATGTGTGTGTGTGTGTCACTATGTCGGTGACTGTTACGCTCTGTCTAATCATCTTGTTTTATCAGTCTGACTATTTATACGCCTCTGTCTAAGTTGAATCCATGTACTGTCTCACCCAAGGCTCGTTAGTAGACTACTGTGTAAGTAGTTTTCACGCGGTTCCTCAGTAATATGAGCAAAATATATGTTTTATTAAGCATGAAAACTTAAATATTTCTCTCACACACACACACACACCAAAGTAGTTTTTGCTTAAGTAGTCTATACATTTTGTCTTACCAGCCTGGTCTGTAAACTGCACTCTCTCGCTCATTTGATTGGTTAGTTTTGTCTCACTAGTTTGGTTAGTACACGTTTTGGTTAAATTACCTCCAAGCTCTATCTCACCAGGCTACAATCAGTTCACATGTTTTGGGTAAATTATGTCCATGTTTTTCCTCACCAGAGTAGATTTAGTACAAATTTTTGGTAAATTATTTCCATGTTTTGTCTCACCAGGGTATGCTTAGTACAAATTTTGGGTAAATTATTTCTATGTTTTGTCTTACCAGTGTATATTTAGTACACAGTTTGGGTAAATGCTCTCCACGATCTGTCTCATCAGGTTATATTAGTACACTTCTTGGGTCAATGATCTCCACGCCCTGTCTCATCAGGTTATATTAATACACTTCTTGGGTCAATGATCTCCACGATCTGTCTCATCAGGTTATATTAGTACAATTCTTGGGTCAATGATCTCCACGCTCTGTCTCACTAGACTATAGTTAGTGTGTTGTTTTGGATTAATGTCCTCCCATGTTCTGTCTCACCAGGATATAGTTAGTACACTTCTTGGGTAAATTACCCCTAGGCTCTGTCTCATCAAGATATAGTTAGCGTATTTTTTGAGTAAATGACCCCATGCTCTGTCGTCTTACCAACCCGGTTAATATCAATGTCAAGGAGTATGCCAACTTCATACAGTTAGACATCTTTGTATTTATCATAATTATGTTTTATCGTGTAGATTGCAGAATATCCAAGTCAGTTAATCAATAGGGTAAGAAGCCAAAGATTATTTATGAATAGAGTGAAACTTAAATAATATCTGAAATATTGTAGTTTTATATAAAAGTGTTGGAAATAATACCTTAGTAACAAATATGTGAATGTACACATAGTGTTAATTTGAAGCTTTATAAAAATACTTGTTGAATGATTTAATGCAAAATAATTTTGTGTATGAAATTTTAACAACAATCTTATTTATTATTTAACACATTCTAGTTTATTTATATATTGTTCTGCAATCACTCCGTTAACACAGAAGAGAATAATTAACATTTTAACAATCTACATTCGAAGATTTTACAACCATTCTGTTAAGACAGAAGAGAATAATTAACCTATTAACAATCTACATTTGAAGATTCTACAACAGTTCCATTAATAGAGAAGAAGAGAATAACATTGTAAAAATCCATTAGTACAGAAGAAGAGATTAATTAACATTTTAACAATCCTTTAGTAGAGAAGAAGCGAATAAATGACATGTTAACAACCTATATTCGAAGATTCTACACCCATTGCGTTAAGGCAGAGGAGAATAATTAACCTTTTAACAACCTACATTTGAAGATTCTACAACCGTTACGTTAACCTAAAAGAAGAGAACATTTAACATTTAACAACCTACATTCGAAGATTCTACAACTTTTCTGTTAAGAATGGCGGAGGAAGTCCATTTCCATCATACAAATATCCTACTGTTGTATTATTTGCTTACAGACAGTGAAACTCATATTTCTGTGTTACAAATCACAAACAACTTTCAAAGTTTGTAAGTGAAGCCTACAGTAGCACAGCGGAAAGTCTGAGGACTTATAACGCTAAAAAACCGGTTTCGACCACAGTGGCCGGCATAGTACAGATAACCCATTATGTAGCTTTTTGCTTAGCAACAAACAAACAAAAACTGTAGACAAAACTATTTGGATTAGAAAGTTTACTCTTTTTTTTTGTCAGAGCCTATTATAATCTCCAACGTTCTCTACCTGAAAATAAACCCCATTACAACAAAGTACAGTTCCCCTTTTTATTTTGTTTAAAAAAAATGGTACGAATACAGAAAAATAAGATAAAAAAGTAAACTTTAAGGCACTTTTATGGAAGCAAATCCAACTCTATAATGTAATAAGTATTTCTTCTTACTTTCAAGAACTGTCTACTTTAAATATATTAGTCTTTTACTAGTACATACACACGCATATATATATATATTATGCTCTAAAATTAAACACTCGTGCTTCTCCCCAGATATTAGCTTTTCTTTGAATAAAAATAACACTGCATTATATCTATTTTTAGCAGGGTATTGAATACGTTATTAATTCATGACCCCTCGGAACTGAAGAGAAACTAAGAAGTTTCTACATAAATCACTGATAACTATAAGGAACGACACAGCATAGAAAGTAAAATAGCAGCTCAAGTGACGGCTTACATTTTCTAGTGGGAGAACTGGTACTTATTTATTTATTTTTTGCGCGGTCTTTATGAAGTATTTTCTCTCAGAAAGTTTCATGAATTATTTACAGTGACTTAAACATCTCTTGCCACGTAAATGGACCAACCTCAGCTTTTTCTATGGAGAGTTATTCGATTGCTGCAACTATTTCTTTATTATTACATATCGTAGATCAAACATAAACTTGTAGCTTCCGTTGTATCACAATCACTGCCCTACTTTTTCCCATTATGAATTCATTGATTTTTTTCACAAGAGGACTTTATTTCGCTTATTTCTTCTAACTGCACTCCTTACGTTGTCCTAAAATTTCCGAGGAAGATGGAATTCCCACTTGTGCAGCTTGCCACCAGGTGGTCGAGCTAGTACGCACATACAAGAGCGGGTCACGAGCACCGCATGTTGTGTGCTGCGTCATCAATACACCAGGATGTGGTACTGGCTGGTATTATATGTGTGGGTGAAAGTGGGATGAACTTATTAAGTTTCCGCTAGCATTGCCGAAGGCTTCAAATCTGCAGCATGCGTTCTTTTGAAGAAAGGGAAAATCGAATTAGCCTTAATCAAAAGAATAAAAAGGGCATCTGCAGTCAGTGGTCATAAAAAGGGGAAGGAAGTGCAAAGAGAGACCATTTTCCAAACACCACCTCGTCATTCATTGTGCTCTAAATCTCCTTTAACTCATAATTTTCAGGCAGGCGCAGGCGCAATAGTTACACCCAGCAGCACCTGATAGTAGAAGCGGGAAGTGGAATGACTCATTGAGAAACGGTCTGTCTCGGCCGTAGCGTGCAGAGAACAAAAGCTTTCCAACCGACGGTGCTCCGCTACCAGCCCCGATGGGTACAGCGCCACTGTGGGCAGTTCTGCCGCCCCTCCTGATGATACTGTCACAAACATCAGGTTTGGACAGCCAGGATGCTTCCGACCTTCGACGCACTCGAAACGATCTGTCCCCACAGGTCAGGCAGCATCAACTCGACCGTAAAAAAACATTATCCTTTCTCAGACCACGGCAACCTAAATACATCCTTGACCAGTGGCCTTTGTCAGCTGTTGACCACAGACAACAGAAAAAGTTAAAGCACAGAATGTTTGTCCGACAGCGCCGGGGATCCCATCAATACGACGTACCCCAGATTGGTGAGTTTTATAGTTTGATAGTTTTCTACATTCATATCTGTGTGTGTGTGTGTGGCAACATCATTTAAAAACTCTTATTTGAAAGCATTACTTCTCTAAATAATCGAAAGTTAATTGTATATGTAAATTGATAGTATTCAGATTAATGGCCTTTGGTGGCACATAAATGCCCCTGTAAAAGTGCTCTTTCCTTACGACTGAGAAATTATGCGTAGCAGCTAGTGAGGGCGTTCGAGTAAAAAAAAAACAGTCTGTTTGTATATTAGAGTTAACAAAATATATAGTAAACATTTCAGTTCGCTTGTTAATAAAAAAAAGCTTAGTCCATAAATTGAAATATAGCCTAAAAGTTGCAATACTTATGGTAAAGGAATGAATAATTTTATTTTTAAGCCTTTTTTAAGCATAGACACAAACCACAAAATATTTTTAAGCTATAACTTAAATTTTTCTCTCCTACATCTCATTCGAATTATAAACCTGAAGGAGATATAGCGTATTATCTGCATCCACTCCGATCATTTCCTGCTTAAAGCACTCTAACACTGTGGACACTTTATTGGGTCTAGTTTGTTTGTTTGTTTTCAGTTTCGCGCAAAACTACATCTGCGCTAGCTGTCCGTAATTTAGCAGTGAAAGAATAGAGGGAAGGCAGCTAATCATCATCACCCACCGCCAACTCTTGTGCTACTCTTTTACCAACGAATAGTGGGATTGACCGTCACATTATAACGCCCCTACGGCTGAAAGGGTGAGCATGTTTGGTGGGACTGGGCTTCGAACCCGCGACCCTCAGATTGCGAGTCGAGCGCCCGAACCACCTGGACATGCCGGGTAGACTAACCAACTTTCCAAATTCTCCTAAATGTTCCTTCTTGTTTTAACTCGTAAGCTACCAGTCATCTACAGATACACTAATTCAGTGATAACTAAATGTTCCGGGAACATAATATAGGTCAAAAACAGTGGTAAACAAACCTACTACAAATACAAATCTTTGTTGAATATGATTTCTGATATTTATCACAAAAAAAGAGAAATTTGTAATGTTATTGTTTTTATATTTTTCAATTCATTTAGGCCAAGGCGATCTTATAAACACTACGGTATTCTAATATCTAATTTTATGATTACCTTTTATCAGAGAGTTGTACGTACCAACACGGGAATAAATTTTCTCGTGAAATCCTGGAGTTACGCGCTATTTAAATAATCAGAAAATACTGTTGAATTAATTACGTATTTCCGCCATATGACAGAAATAAGAGTTATTAAAATATGAAAATAACTCACATCAGTTAATGTTGCTCATATTATTATAATCGACCGACACCCACAACTAATAACTGTAAATACGGGGAATGCTGAAACAAAACATCTTGATCAAGCATTGTATAAACATCACGTTACACGCCTCTGTTCCACTGCACGTGCCTAAACCTAATACCGATAGTAATCCTGTTTACCTTTCTTTAGCTTCCTTTGGTTGTACACGAATCTGATACAGAGAATGGTTTTCTTTGGAGTGCGCCAGCTCCCTCAGCCCGCGTCTAAATGTGGTGCATAGTGTGATTCTGTTCAGTTAGACACACCTTTTATAGCCCATTTCTGAAAGCTAGTAATTTTTATTTAGTTTATCCCAGCTTCTACCGCTGATCTTGAAATATGATTTCTTTTTAGCTTGCTTCATATCTCAATAACCCTGTTTGAAACTGATGTAGAGTGTAACTTGTCTCAACTTCTATCTCCATTCTATACAAACTGGTGTACAGAAATTTAATGCCATTTTATTTAAGCACTTTTTTTGTATGCTATTATATTAGTTTGTTGACAAAATTGAAAGTTGTGGCGCCACGGGAGTCATAGCGTTTATTGGTTCACGACGAATTTTCGAGCATTTCTTCAGTGTGTAGCTGCCATGCTCGGATATATAGAAATTATTATATAATGACTTTATAAGGAGCAACACTCATACACCGATGTAGAACCAAAGAACATAACATTTCGAAGAAAAAGTGTTTAATGTTTTCCTTGGAAGAGGTAAAACTTTCACAACAGAGCATTTAGGACAACAATGGGCTCCACAAACACAATTCCACTCAATCTGCAGCAACAACGTCATCTGCGAAGTGATAATAACGGTTATGAAAGGAAATCATCCGACTTAAAAAAAAAAGCCAGTGGAATGAAGTTGGTACATCTTTTGGTACTTTTAACAAAATACGAAACAGTCCCTTGAATTTGACGAAGGCTAGCAAGCTAAAAGTTCACAGGTTTGAAGACGCACTTCGTAATCAACGTGTTATGAGGATGGCCGAAGAAGCTAACGTCACAACAATACCGTTTGACCACGTATATGTCAACTCCTCCAAAGCAGTACCGATGGAGTTTATTATTTTGATTGAAAGCCCCGTGCAGTGGATTAACACTAGAAATTTTGTCAGGATGTACGGTGTAATATTAGGTCGTGCATCAACATTGCTATCTTTAGCAGAACGTTGTGGCAATAAACTTTTAGGCGTCAGGCAAAATGTGTAATCCTAGTCAACAAATTGAGCGCGATCGACAAAGGTAGAAATGGAACTGAAATATCGTTTGTATAAAGTGTGATTAACCTTGATGGTGTGTGTGGTCTTGTGTATCATGTCTCAACTTCTGTTGCCCATGTCTAAACATGAGTTATAGTGTGATTTTATTGAGCTTACCCGTGACTGAACCTAACTTATTGTGTTGATTCTATTTAACGCGCCTACGCTTCCATTACCCGTGTCTGTACTTTGTATATTGTGCGATTCTGTTTAACTTGTATCCGCTTCTATTAGCCGTGTTTGAACTTTGTGTATTGTGCGATTCTGTTTAACTTGTATCCGCTTCTATTAGCTGTGTTTGAACTTTGTATATTGTGCGATTCTGTTTAACTTGTATCCGCTTCTATTAGCCGTGTTTGAGCTTTACGTATTGTGTGATTCTGTTTTACCTGCTTCCGTTTCCATCACTTGTATCTGAAACATATTGTATTGTGTGATTCTGTTTAACTTGTATCCGCTTCTATTAGCTGTGTTTGAGCTTTACGTATTGTGTGATTCTGTTTTACCGGCTTCCGTTTCCATCACTTGTATCTGAGACATATTGTAGAGTGTGATTTTGTTTGACTTGCCCCAGCGTCTATTATTTTATGTGAACTGGCTATTATGATTTGATATGGTTTAGCTTGCCCCAGCTTCTATTATTTTATGTGAACTGGCTATTATGATTTGATATGGTTTAGCTTGCCCCAGCTTCTATTATTTTATGTGAACTGGCTATTATGATTTGATATTAATAGAAGCTGGGGCAAGCTAAACCTTTTATGTGAACTGGCTATTATGATTGGATATGGTTTAGCTTGCCTCAGCGTCTATTATTTTATGTGAACTGGCTATTATGAATGGATATTGTTTAGCTTGCCCAAGCTTCTATTATTTTATGTGAACTGGCTATTTTGGTTGGATATGGTTTAGCTTTCCCCAGATTCCAGTGTGTCTGAGTGAAGATCATTTAGACTATAACAATGTTTAGTTTGGTTTAATTATTTTACTAGTGTCTGAATTTACTTATTATATACAGTATTATTATTATTTTACTTTTAAGTCAAATAATGCACGTAAGAATTTAACAATAAGTCGTTCGTTGTCTTTATAATAAAGAATACAATTTTAAAAAGTCTTAATCTCACACCAGAGATATTTGAGATGTATATAACACAGGATCTTGTTATTGAGGAACAACTGGGTATGTATTTCTTAATTATCTGTAGCGTTTATCGAGACATGGTAAAAGAAACAGAGAACAAAGAAAAGTTATTATATATATATATTACATACAAACACCGAGGACTGGTATATCATTATCATCAAAGTTTTTATATAATTTCTTAATCAAACCTTTGTTAACAAGCAATTAAGAAACATGTAGATGTACATTGACAAAAATGAGCTGTTTAGTATGCTTTGCCGATATCATCACGAGATTTTGTAATCTAAAGTCATATCAAAGATATTTCTTGAAAGAGAACAAGCAGGGAAAGGAATTTTCTTTTCGAAAAGCCACACAGTCAGGTATTTACGAAAAGTAACTTATAGATCCTCATATTTTCTCACATCGAAATTCAGCTCTCTGTAAACGGTAAAAACACAAACATCGTGATTGTTGTGGTATTTTCACATACACTCTCTTTGCCCTCGTATATTCAGTCTGAAGACTTTATTTTTGTTTTTCACAAAATATATTTGTCAGCACTTTTGTAAGAAACACTTTTTTATAATTGTTTCTTGCACTCGCTAACTCATTTGATATCATTTTTGTCTATAGTTCGAAGAGTAAAGACCCGTTTCTCCACACTTTGAATACAATACTTTTTTAAAGTATATCTGTTTTAACACTTGTAACATATGTTGAATATTTCCGTTTTCTCTCCTTCTAATACCACCTCCCACGATGACTCAGCGGTAAGTCAGTAAGCTTATAACGCTGAAGATTGCGTTTCGATACACAAGATGGTTTAAATCACAGAAAGCACTTTTTGTAACTTTGTGCTTTAATACAAACGAGCCTTCTCACGGCGATTTGTTCATAAGTTTCTAATTGTTTTTTTGTTGTAAGTTAAAAAAGGCAAAGAGTTAATTTTCAATTTATTGCCCTCAATGGATCAACGGCAAGACAATGGGCTTATGACGCTAGAAATCGGGGTTTGAAACCCTGCCGTGAGCAGAGCACACCTTCTTGTAGCTTTGCGCTTGGCAACAAACATTTCATTTTATTTTTCATTAGATAATCATGTAGCGTCTCATTTATAGTTTGTAATTTCCGAATAACGTTAAATAGTCAGTCAGGATTAGTAACGCACAAAAAATAAATATATTTATTACAGTACATGTATAGAAATATAGTTCAACAATAAACAATTTTTATTTATAGTAGATACTCTGGATTAGGGTTAGAAAATAGCATATATATTTGCT